AATTTGCTAATTTCTACCGCCCATTTAGCCAAACGACCTGACAATTTAGGTCTATGAAGGACGTTCCTCAAGGGAAAAATTATCACACTGGCTATTGGATGGCACTGATAACGTGGCTATTGGAAAATTCTAGGTGCAAAAAACGTGTCACCGCTCTCGATAAATTTTATTAACATAACAAACAAAAAATTGCGTACCTTCCTCCTATCGGATCAGAATAGCACTTACCGCAACTTCTGAAACTGCTAAATAAATCAACAATTGCTCACCTTCCATCGGTTTTGACAACAGTGGAGGACTAGATAGATACCTTTTTAAGTCTTTCAATGCTTGTTGACATTCTGGAGTCCACACGATATTATTCTTCTTTTTCAAGAGTGAAAAGAAGTGATGGCATTTCTCCAAAGATCTTGATATAAACTTGCTTAGGGCTGCCAACCTGCCGGTCAACCTTTGTACTTCCTTCACACTTGTTAAATGGTCCTGGATATCCTCGATGGCTTTTATCTTATGGGGATTTACTTCGATTCCTCTTTGAGAAACCAAAAACCCCCCCAAAACCTTTGGGAGCTAACTCCGAAAGCACATTTTTCTGAGTTGAGCTTCATGTTTTATTTTCTCATAATATCAAATGTCGCTTGTAAATGAGCCAAATGATCTCCTGCATTAAGAGACTTATCCAATATATCATCAATATAAACCTCCATTATTTTACCAATTTGTTGTTCGAACATTTTATTAATGAGCCTTTGGTAAGTGGCTCCAGCGTTCTTAAGCCCGAAAGACATCACATTATAGCAGTATGTGCCAAAATTTGTGATAAACAAGGTTTTTTCTTGATCTTTTAGGTACATCCTAATTTGATTATACCCGAAATACGCATCAAAAAGGCTCATTAACTCATGCCCGGTCGTAGCATCGATCATTTGATCAATGTTTGGCAACAAGAAAGAGTACTTAGGGAATGTCTTATTCAAATCTTTATAATCTACACATAATCTAAATTTATTAATCTTTTTAGGTACAAACACTACGTTAGCTAACCAATTGAGATAATTTACCTCTCGAATTGAACCTATATTTAGCAATTGGGTTACCTCTTCTTTGACAAACTTTTTCTGACATCTGCTATCGGTCATTTCTTCTGTATTACCGAAGGGAAGTTAGGGTCCAAACTTAGCTTGTGGACAGCGACTTCCAATAAAATACCTATTATATCTGAATGTGACCAAGAAAAACAATCGATGTTAGCTTAAAGAAAGTCAATAATTTTAAGTCTAAGTTCGGGGCTCAACCCCGCTCCCAAGTTGAACTTCCTTTCTAAGAAATCCGTGAATAAGGCAACTTGTTCGAGCTCCTCTCCGGTTGATTTAGTTGCATATGTTTTTTTTGGTACCTGAAAAGACCTCGATACCTGATATAAATCTGGTGACTCCACTTCTCCACTATCTTCAATCGGGATGGAAGAAGGCACCGACTCCTGTAGTTGCTATTTTCTTGTTTCTTTTGCCTTGCTACTAGACAAGGTAACTGCATTCATTTCTCTTGCAGTTGGTTTATCTCCTCTAATCTGTTTGACCCCTACCTGTGTGGGAAACTTCAACAATTGATGGTAATTTGATGGCACAACCTTCATTTCATGAATCTATGGCCTTCCAAGGATCACATTGTATCCCATGTCGCCATCTACCACTTCGAATAGAGTGGTCTTTGTTATACCTTTAGCATGCGTGGGCAGCAAAATCTCTCCTCGGATTGTTACACTTGTTAGATTTAACCCGGCCAGAAGCTTTGTTGCCGGAACTATATTTCCGATTAATTTGGCTTGTTCCAAAACTCTCCATTGAATGATATTGGTTCAACTACCTGGATCAACCAACACCCGTTTAGTTTTAAAATCTAAGACATTAAGCGATATTACCAGAGCATCGTTGTATGGTAAAAGAAGGCCATCAACGTCTTCTTCCGAGAAAAGGATTTCATCATCTTATGTTGCTTCTCGGATCCTCTTGTCATGAGTTACCTATATCTTCGTTTTCTTTGCTGCAGAAAATGTCACCTCATTTACTTTGTCACCACCAAAGATCATGTTTATTGTTAAGTGAGGTGACCCTTTAGCCGGTTTGGATGGCTCCCCAACATCTCAATTTTTTCCATAATTATTTTTGGCCCGATCACTTAGAAACTCTCTAAGTTGACCATTCTTTAATAACGCTGCAACCTCTTCACGAAGGTATTGATAGTCTCCAGGTCATGTGGTCAAGCATTCCATGGAATTCACACCATAGATTTGGATCCCTCTGACTAGGATCTGGTCGAATCGGTTTTGGGAATCTAGCCTCCTTAATGTTTCTCATAGCCGATACCAATTCCACTAAGCTGATATTAAAGTTGTAGTCAGATAACCAAGGTATGATGAATCCCGGGACCCCGATGGTTCCTTCTCCTATAAAGCTCTACTATTTCGATGATGATCCGATCTTTTATCGGTAGAAAACCTATCCAATTTAATCCTTTATTTCCACGTCCCTCAACCCTTTCGTAAGGCTAAAAGCGACTCGACCTCCGATTTGCATCAAAATTAGTTTTGAACTTCTCCTTATTCCGATCACGATTACGTCCTTTAGAAGATACCGAAGAATTGAGTTGATCATCTTCAATTCTGATTTTTGATTTATAACGGTTAAGGACATGTGCCCATGTAGTTGCCTAAAGTTCCAATAGGCTTTTCTTCAATTACCTGGAGGCATTGAATCTTTATGGATTGAGACCTTTGGTGAATGCTTCAACTGCCCACTCGTCCGGTACTGCTGGCAACATCATCCTCTCCTTCTGAACAGGATCATGAACTCTCGTAATAGTTCGGATTCTCCTTGAGTGATTCTGAATATATCCGCCTTTCTGGTTTGGACCTTTTTTGCCCAGCATGAATTTAAATAAAAGAATCTGCAAGCATTTCAAAAGAATCAATGGAGTTCTCAGGTAAAAGAGAATACCAAGTTAAAGCGCCCTTCATTAGGGTTTCGCTAAATTTCTTCAATAAAACAGATTTGATCTCGTGCGTGGCCAAGTCATTTCCCTTTACAGTCGTAGTATATTTTGTTATATATTCTTGCAGATCCGAAGTCCCATCATACTTCGGAATATCTGGTATCTTGAATCTTTTCGGAATTAATTTAGGGGCTGCACTTGATTTGAACGGCGAGTGCGTATACTTCTTAGAATCAGGTCCCTTCAACACCGGTGGCGCTCCCAGGATCTGATCCATCCGAGCATGGAATTCTTTAGCATTTTATTCCATTCGTTCATTCATCTCCCTCATGAATCTCATGACCTCGGATTTGAAAGGATCGTTAGCATTGTCGTCGTTCCCGGATCCACTATGTGCACCACCTGCTTCATTTTTATTAAAATCGAACTCCTCCCTTGGAGCGACAGTACCTGTCCCTTGAATTGTTTGAATTGTAGGTATGCTTGGGGGAATCTAAACTCCTCCATTAGAGTTATTGGAAGCAACCGAAAGCCCTGGCTTCAATTCCGTCATCATTCGATCTTGCCTTGAGAGATGTTCATAATTTTATTTTGTTGCTCTCTCAAAATTTTAACCGTTTTAACAAGTTGTTCATCATCCACATCATCAAGAGTTAGACTTCTCACATGCTGAGGATTTTATTCTTTACGAACCGGATTTGTTTCATCTCTTTCGCTGCATAAATGGATCAAAGTAATTACACAATTGTCTATGCCCCTGGGCGCCAAACTGTATACCCGTAAAGCGGTATAGTTGAATTTGTTGCGTGGTGTATAGATATATGAATTAATTTGGTTCAAAAATATAGGAAAATAAGTACAGAAATAATATTTTTAAAATAATTTAAAGAAAAAAACAAGCTTGCTTATGGACTTAGCTTCTCCAGAAGCGATGGCAAGAACAATATCAAGTGCAAAAGAAAGAAAGTAGATTGATAGAATAATAATAGATTTAGCTTATATGTACAGAATGTTTTGTCTCCAACTATGGATACAAATTTTTCTATTTATAGGTTTTTTCAGGGAGACAAGATCCTCAAATCAAGCTCTCCTTTAATAAGAATAAAACCCCTTTTGATGGCTACATAGCGATTGATCATTAACACAGAGATTTTTTGTAACGACTGCTCATTAAATATTGTCTTTTCCAACCGATGTCTTCCTTTCAAATCTTCGTTCTCGGTTCAATGCCTTCGGAATTTATTCAGCACCAGTCATATATTTGTATCTGGTATCACCTATTTGCTGACTCATATCATACATGTATTCAGTTCCACATATCAACTCGTCGAGCGTCCACCTTGCATTAGTCAATTTTACCCTATACATATATTTCTTAGGTCGTAATTTATATGGATTAATTTGAAGTATAAGGGTCAAAACACGTCCTACTTTTAACAAATCGATATCTCGAACTATTAAGTAGTATACTTTTATTGATGAATAAAAATACTATAACTTTATTTCCTTTCCTATTTTACATCTTCTCGAATATTATGTCTTGGGAAGATAGAATCAAATCATGATATTGTATATGAGATGGACAATGCAAATTATCTCCCAATTTGTACCAAAATTCTTTTAAGACCCCCAATTTTCACTGAGAATTTCTTATACATCAAATCTTTTTACAATGGTAGCTTTTAACCACCTCTTTAGTATTTGAACCACTTATTCCCAATAAATAAGCATATGTCACGCATCAATGATGCCGTGAAACATGTCATTAACTTAAAAAAAGAAGAAAATACTACACCATCTTCTTGTTCATCTTCAAAGGCTACTTCCACCACCACTCCTTTTTACGATCATCACCACCAATACGTCATGGCTTCGTTGGAAACTCAATATCCATAGAAAAAGATCTTGTTGGAGATCACCTCTTCACTCTCCTCTATCGGCAGTATGCCTTAAATTAAACTTCCGTCGAGCGAATCACTAATATTAATATTTATGGTAAACTATATATATGACATAAAATAATCTTTCATAACCTTTAAAACATAACATAGAGCCTATTGGCATTTAAAATATTTATAATATTATACATAAATCGTGAAGCGCGATTGACTCTATTATGAACATAAATACATGACCGCAATGTACATAGAGCTTCTCACAAACTAAAGGTTTCTTAAAAGACAGAAGTGCGCATAAAACCCCCATTATTCTATGTACAAAAACTGTAGAAAATCTTAGTTTGAAAATTAACTCCAAGTGTTGGCTATTCCTGATGCTCTTTAGGAGATAGTAGTACTTGATTGAGAAAAGCTCCAAGTGCCCATATGGGGAATATGTTTCTGTAGGCTGAGTAGCTTATCATACAGTTCTTGTTGAATACTCCTATTATTTCCTGAAAAAAGTTTAAAATACATTCTTCAATATTTAAGCATAACAAATGATACGTGAAGGAGTTTAAAAACTGATATAATATACAAGTTTAAAAAAAAGGGGAAATACCTGTTGTGGAAAATCTCCATTTTCCATTTGAGAATTTATCAGAACTTTAGCAGCTCGTTTGAGTGGAGTAGCATCTCTTTTCCCCTAATAAACTCTCATGTGTCAATTTCACATTAACAATTTCGTCTTACAAATTTGAGACAATTCAAAGAATTTTAAAGTTCATGTATTAGCTGAATTTTATGAGAAAAATAAAAATCATTTAATGAAAGTATTCAGATTTATGGGCATTTTTTGCTAAATTAACTTTCTCTTGATTCTCTAGTAAAAGAATTATAGTGCTGTTTGAAATACCTGGCCAGCTTCAATAAGAGCCAACATGGCCCATGCGGTGTTTACTATGTGTGATTTGTTCCCTTCAATGTTCGTATAAACCTGGTCATTCCGTAAAAGTAAGATCTAAAAAATTAGTAAAAGCATCTGAAACATTAAATTAATGTTATCGAGGGTTTAATTCGCAATTAGAAAATAATTATTATAAACAAATCCTTTTCATGACGTCAATGCCTTATTAGGGTTATGATATGGTATATGTGTATACAGGTTATGTTGTTCGGGTACTCTTTAAAAATGTAGCCATATATGTATCGCATCTTTCAAAAGTAATATATTTTTATAGAATCCGACACATGCACGATAATATTTTTGAAGAGTCCAAACAATATAGGTATTTGTGATTAATTGCAAAGAGGCTGTAATTCAAGACATAATGCTTAATTACCTTGTGCTGAGATGAGAGATAGCTTTCACCCCAACCACCAGAAGGTTGAAGTTGTTTTGATAATAGAAAATGACAAGCCTTTCTGATGCTTTTGCAACTTTCGTAAGTCTTGCCACCAGCAATTAGCCCACTTATCCCAAACCATGTTCCATATGTGTAGCACACTCCCCACGAGCCATACCTTAATTCGGACGAAATTAATATTTACATTACTTTTCACTTTATTACTCCTACTAATCGGAAAGTGAGTACTATTAATCATTTTTGACCTCTTTACTAATAATGATAAAATTGCAAGATCTTTATATTGCTTTCTAAAACGACAAATATTTTAAAAAATAGCGGCACTTAAAAGGGAACAGAGGGAGTATTTCTCTTGCACTAGTTATAGCAACTAGTAATCACGTAGAAGATTTATTTTTCTTTAAATTTTTTTTAAAATAAGAAGCATTAGTTTTCGAAAAAACTTTGCGAAATAAGTTCTAAGAAATAAAATGTCCAAATATTCCTAAGAGAAAATTTCTTTTTGGAAAATAAAATAAACGTAAATTACCTACCATGAACCATCAGGAAGTTGAATACTTTCGATGAAATAGAGAGCTTTCCTAATACAAGCTCCTATATCTTTCTCTCGATATTGCGGGTAAAGTTTTTTGAAGGACTGAAGAGCTTGAATTGCTGCAGAAGTACATTCTACATACCTGCAAGAATTTGACATTAAGGATTGATTTAACGGAAAAGGGCCTGATTAGCCCCTCTATTTTCGTTTATTGTTCAATCATGTCTCCCGTTATACTTTCCGTTCAGATATAGCTTTACTACTCTATATTTTCCCTATTTTAACGGCCAAAACACCTTACCCGACTCGTTACTCATAACCCGTCCGATCCTATTCCTCTCTTACTCTTCTTAAAAACGAAAGTAGAGGGGAATATCAGTCCCTATACATTTTGGTAGGGGCTGCATTTTTTCAGGAAGAAAGATAGTGACAAAAGGAAGACCGTTTAATCAAAGATTGCCGTTACTATTTCCATTGAAAATTTCACATTCACAATGTATAAATTCCGGTAGCTAGCTTTCGCTTTACAAAGGTTTCCTTTGTGATTTTAATTAGATTACAGAAACTTCTAAAATACGAGTGTATGGGAAAAATCAGTTCAATTTTAGGAGAATAATCTTTTTCAAGAATATATAAATGAGGGAATTTTTTGTAATTACAAAAAGGAAGAAGCTAAAGTGTAATTTTTTTAAATAAAGGCAAACCTCGAGGATTTGTTAAATCAACACTTACATATAACATAAATAAATATGTGGAAGGTCTTACTGGTAATCAATGGTGATATCCCCAAATGTTTCTGATGGATTAATCATCTGTCAATTCGCCATATAGTTTTTTTTTTTTTAAAAAAGATGACCAAAGAAATATGAATTCATTAGGTGAATAAAAGAAATTATTTGCACGATTTAATCCTTAAATGATATCTTACCTCAAGCCATGCATAAGATCTTGTTAGCTCATACGAAGCAAATCCGCCATTGCTATTCTGTATAAAAAAATGGAAAAAGAGATATTTCCGTGGCTTGAATTAAACTATATAACTATATTCAAGCTATTTGTCCCGATCTTTATTGAATTTTATATTTATTTAAAATTATTATCACCTTTTATTTTCATAATGAAAGGTATATATACAGGTATACACGATCCCCTTATACAAGATTTAATTAGACTGTTGATTAAGAATAAGAAGTAAAGTTTAGTTTTTATTCATCTTAAAAAGCAAATTAAAATGACAAAAGTGCGGAGAAATAAACTAATTTATAATTAAACTAAACCTGAAGAGAAAGAAGCAAATCAACAGCATCGTATAGCTTGTGAGGTGCTATTGCTTCTCCAACAATGTCTGATGGCATCTGAGATAGCAAAACTGCTGCCTGTAGTTAAACCGAAATAAATAAAAATGTGACAATGCTAACATACTACATACATGTAATAAATTAGCCAAGATTAAAAATCATGAATAATATTTATAATTTAAGGTGGAAATAAAGAAAAATGGACCTTAAGGGCTTCAGCAGTGCAATCTGATACAATCCAACCATTGTCGACAGTGGAGAAAGGCCATCCACCTCTACAACTCTGCCGATACCATTTCTTAAGGTCTCCACTACTGTCTTCTCTAACCTTATTAAATCAAATCCAGGATTTACAAAGAAAAATTAAAATCCAATAATAAAAAAATAAAAAATAAGAAAAAAGAGAAAGAAAAAGACAAGTGTGAATTAACCTGTGACGCTTTAATGAAGTGATGTGCATTCTTAAGCATCAAACCGTATTCTTCAGGAAGGTTTGTAGATAATATTGCTTGTACGCCAAAACTAACATCCCATAGTTGACTCCCATTATATCCCTATGATCCAAAATTTAATTTTAATTTGTTTAACATCTAAAGTTCTTAAAGATTATGAGTTCAAGTTTAATAGTGTTATATATATATATATATATATATATATGGTCCATCTAAAAACATTGAGTTAAGCTAAGTTAAACCTAATAAAAGTAAAGGAAAATGACATTGTATAACTACTCTCAAAATAATAGTTAAAACTTTTGTATATATATATCCGCGAGTGGATAAGTAGAAGGAATTAAATTTAAAAAATGAAGTTAGAGTTATAATACCTTCATCTTCATGCCATCTTCAGCGAGCCATAGATAGTCTTTGATTCTGGAGAGATGAAGTTTGATTGCCTTGGATTCTGGATCCTCTACCCAACAACACAGCATGTTCAATACCTGTATTTTATTTTATTTTTAGATTTTTCAGTTTAAGAATTTTTAGTTACTAATTAGTTGGTATTTAATTTAAAACCACGAAAAATTGTAAATTATAGGCTTATATTAATATGAGTACTTGAAATTTCTAACTGCTTAAGGGCCAGTACTGCTTGTTAAGTCATGCAGACAAAGAACCTTTTAGCTTTTTCTGGATAAATTATTTAAAAAATAATGCAAAAGTAATTAGGAATAAAAAAATTCTAACTAATTGCCAATCATTTATAATGACATTCCAACACTGTTGTTGTACGTATTCGGACTATTGGATAAAGATTAGCATTGGAGTTGACCATGCTATTCGATTTTTTATAGTTTCATTTAAAATTGCAAAAGTTAAAACTTACCATGACCATAATTTCCTTATAAATATTACCTTATTGACAGGTCCAATACAAATATAGTTGGTATTTTCATCCTCATAATGAATATGTTCCATCACAGTGTTGAGTGCCCTTTTTCTTAACTTGGAGAGTGGCCATTGCATGAGAAGAGGTTCTGCAAAATTGTGAAGACTTTCCCAAAGAATATCTTGTACTAAAGGATGAGGGTAGTACAAATCTTCCTGAAAACACCATATATACGTACATATATCACTTTGATTAATTAGCAAATATTCATGGTAACTTATTTTACTAGTTCACAGTGTTATTTCCTCGAAATTAGAAGAAGGAATGAATTTATTTACTAATTAGTGTGTGTATATTATATATTGATTATATATATTCGGTTACATACACTGATGGGTGAGGGACTATTTATGTTAGGAAATTCTTCCAAGAGATAAATAGGAGAGGAAATTAAAGGGAAAGAATAAAGAGACCTTAGCGCATTGGTTCCTGGCCAAGTCCCAATCAATGTGGTGATAGGGGCATGTATAGAGCTCTCTTCTGAGTGATAAAATAGTGGAATTAATAGGACCTACATATCTTGTCCCGTACAAATATGACATTGCTAAATACACCATTCGACAGTGACACCACATTCGACCTATATATATATAACATCATCAATTAAAATTAATGATAAACAAAACTAGAGAACGAAAATAAAAATTATTAAATTATTAGGAGAAGGAATTAATTAATAAAGACCTGGGTGTATAGGAAGAAAGTAGGGGAGAAGCCATAGTTCTGGCGGTAGTGGATTATTGCCACTCCATTCGTATACGCCTAGCGCCTGAAAAGTACAAAATAATCCCAAAAGAAAATTAATGCTACCCTGTAACTATAAGTTATTGATACATTAGGTGTTCACCGGGAAGAGTAAAATTATATCAAGGGTAAATGTTTGAAGATCTTGTATTAAAACTATATATATCAACAACAACAACAATCCAGTATAATCTCACTAGTGGGATCTAGGGAGGGTAGTGTGTACGCAGACCTTACCCCTATCCTGGGATAGATAGGCTGTTTCCAATAGACTCTCGGCTCCCTCCCTCCAAGAACTCCCCACATTGCTTTTAGGTTGACTCGAACTCACAAGAGTATCTATATCAAGGGTAAATATTAGTGGTATACAAACCGAACAGGAAAATCGCACCAAACCGAAAAGGTTTGGTTTGATTTGGTTTGGTATTGAGTAAAAAGATATGAATCAAAGCGACATATAAATATATAATTTTTATATATACTTTTAAGACTTTTCATAGAATTTTCTATAAAAATGTCAAGAAATATTTGCGATTATCTTATGGATTGTAATATTTAGTTAAATATGTAGTGCTCTATTTTTATTAATTTTAAATAATGGGTTGTATGACTACTTTCTTATCAAATGTTAATGAAATACGTCAATCTCTTTGTTCTTCCATTTTCATATGTCAAGTTCTATTAAATTCTTATTTCTTTTTCGAATTTGATATGGTATTTCGGTTTAAATAGAAAGTATTAGTATATAGGTATCATATTGATTTTTATGTTTAAATATTAAATTCAGTTAACCTTGAAAGTGTACATCAACGAAAATTTATTGTCACGCGACTAAAAAATAACTATCATATGTTACTAAGAAAATTCTCTCATAAGAGTATATTAATAGATCATATATTTGTTAACTTTTTAAATTTTTTATTAAGCATATATTTACTTATCAAAAAATTAACAAAGTAAGATTGAAATAATATTCATGTAACAAAAAATCCAAAAAACCCGAAAAATCCTACAAAATCGAACCAATCCAAACCGATATAATTGGTTTGGTTTGATTTTGATAAAAATCGAACCAACCCGATCCATATACACCCTAGTAAACACCAAGGGAAAAGTAAATATCAAGGGTAAATGCTTCAATATATATAACTTAAATTTTTATACATAAAATAAGTATCAATGGCAAACATTTCCCCTGATATTTACTTTTCCCTTGATACAATCTATATAAAGTTTATCTAAATATCAAGGGAAAAGTAAATATCAAGGGTAAATGTTTCAATATATATAAAGTAAATTCTTCAAACATAAAGTATTATTGTTTACCCGAAAAACGAATAGAGTTGAATTTATACGTAGTTCTAAGGGTACGTGGTATAACTTGACACAAATCAGAAAAGCAAGTAGAAATATATTGAGCATTGACTGTATAAAGAATGAAATACAAACCAAACTGAATGGAAAATAGTTTATGAACAAGCAAGACGAATCAATATACAAAATCCAAAAAAGGATAATCTCTTTATGAATATCAGTATGTTTTTCTCTGTGAATATCAATAATATGGGAGTGTATGAATGCCTTAAAATGATAGATTCCCTTACAGAAACAATAGCCATCCCTCTTATAGTGGAGGGAGCCTACTTTGGATATAATTAAAAATATATAGTGGGGAACCTATGATAGATTAGCTTTTCCACAATTTCTGCCAAGATTCTCTCTAGTGGGATTGCAACGGCTTTTGTCTGCGAGCTCGATCTTGACTCGAGCTCTCGATCTTGGTTTGAGCTCGATTCTGACTCGAGCTCTCGATCTTGGCTCGAGCTCGATTCTGACTCGAGCTCTCGAATTGATTCGGGGTCAATATTGGTCGGTCTCTGGATCATAAGCTTGATAGCTTTACTTTGCATCATAGTTTGATTTGGATCCGAGCTTGACAATGATGTCGAACTCGACATTGATTAGCCCTACGGATTCGAAGCTTGTTTGTACCATCTTCGGAACCCATCTCGAGGTCTTACTTCGATCGATTATCTTTCGAACTCGATCAGACGTACGAAGGCCAAAATCTATTTCGACCGTATACAGATAGTCCCCTCATTTCTCAGGAAGAATGTGGTGAGAAACGATATGCTTTTTCAACGGCTCGATCGGATCATAAGTTGACGTCTTCATCGGGATCGATCATGATGCACGTGATATTTGTCCCGTCAATTTAGTCTTTCAAGGCATTTAATGCATGTCAGACAGTGGTCCGCCATCGCTGATACTGAACCGCCATTGCTTAAACCTATAAATAACCCTTTCTTTTATCATTTACCACTTTTACCTCTTCAATCTTCCAAATTTCTCAAGTCCCTTTTCGTATTCTCTGGCTTACCCGCAAATCTGTGATTTCTCTTTGCAAAACGCCCCCTTCAATTTTACCAAATCTTTGTCACTTTCTTCTACTCCTCACCTTTGAATTCGAAAATGGCAAAAATGTCACAAACCATTCCTCAGAAAGAGAAGACTTCATCTTCACAGTGTGTCGCCGATGAGACACCAGCAGAAACACGGCCTGAGGAGTGCGTTCCTGGGGCGTGTGTTCTTACTTCTGATTTTAAGGTCGATAAAGGATCATCGGTCCCTGGCCGATGTTAGCCAGTATCGAGGTACATGTGTTCGATAACCGAGAAGCACCTCAAACAGTTAAAGAAAGATTGTAATTGGGATAAAAAAGAAATAATAATTCCTACTTCTGACGAAGATATCACCACTTACGTGAAAGGGTTTTTGAATGCGTATACTTACCCTTTCACGTTAGGTCCCCTCGATTCCGTTATTATTGATTTCTGTCGTCAATACCAAATAACCCTAGGCCAGGTCCATCCTTCTTTTTGGCGGATCGTTATCTTGATCCGATACTTTGTGAACAAAATCGAGGGGATGTCGTTCACCCTCAACCATCTTATCCGATTGTGCCATCCTCGACTTTTTCGAGGAGGGTTAATAAAACTTCAGCATCGGGCTACCAAGGCCCTGTTCTCGAGCATTGACGAGGACATGGATCGGGGCTGGATGGGCAGGTTCGTTCGAGTGTGGACTTCGGACTTGATTCCGACAGAAAAGATGCCCTTTCCCAAGGAGTGGAATATGAAACGTAAGTGTGATCCTGCTGTTACTTCCTTATATTTTGCTCTTTCATTTCTTTTCTCATCGATACTCTTCTTTTTGTGATGCAGCGGTTCCCTGGATGTCCGGAGCAGTTCCCGATCTTAAGAACTGGGTACGAGCTCTTGTTTCGACCTTCACATACACCGAACGCTCATGGCGTGATTTGTCAAAGGGTCGGTAGGAGGCCAAAAATCACGGTAAGCCTTTTTCTCGTACTCTTTGATAATTCGACCGAGATTCCTTCCAAATATTTTAATAAAATTTTCCATATATAGGTTTGGGAAAAGATGCGATTTTGAGGCCCTTGTCCATCGAGGAAGAAACTTTGGCCTCTGTCCCAAAGCCAGTGAAGGAAAATAAAAGGAAAAGAGCCTCTGTTCCCGAAGATCCAAAACCGAAGAAGAGGACGGCTCGTAAGCCGAACAAGAATGCCATTCCTTTGACCATAGAATCAGTTCTGTGTCTAAGGGATGAAGATGAAGAAGAAGAAAATGATGGGTCCGCGCTGGCGGCCAGAACGAATAGAACAACTGATGCCCCATCAGTAGCTGGATCGATGATGCTTCATGAGGTTCCGCCTCGAGCTGAGGGTATACGGGAGAAAGATTCAGGCGGAGTCCCTGAGTTGTTGGAGATCGAAGACGCATCCCTTCGGAGCCAACGGGTGGGGGATATGTCTTAAGGGGCCCCTCTTGAATCCCTTCGAACTGAAAAGAATGCTCCAAGTGATTCATTTGGGGCAGCAACAATCGAAGACTCGCTCACCTTCTCTGCTTTTTCCGCAGGGGTGATTCGGGAAGCCCAAGCTTTGGGGGCCCTCGATCTAGACAGGCCTAATGATGGAGAGGATCCTTTTCGTGACCTATTTACCGGTATCGAGGATGTTGCCGGTACTAGTGATGAATCAAATCTTTTTCACGGGGTGCAGCAGGCTTTGAATCAGGTAAGCCTTAAAATTATTTTGTTGGTACTGCCTTCATGTTTACTTTTCGTTTCTAACTTCGTTTCTTGTTTATTTGTAGGCAGTGACAGTTCATCGAGAAGCACGTTCTCGGTCCCAAAATGAGCTGCGTCGATACGAGGCCGACCTTCAGCGGGTTACTGAGGAGAGGAACTCCCTAAAACTTCTCTTAGGGCAAAGGGAAGAGGAAATAAAAGACCTCCGAGCTGAGCTGGCCAAGGCTTACCGAGATCAGACCGATCTGTCTGAGCAGGTAATGATACTTTTAAAAGCCTATGGGCTTGATACCGGAACGATGGCTAATTTTTCGGTCTCACAGTTGCAGCAAAAAATTGAGATGATCGGGAAGCTTCGTGAGGAGGTCGATGTGATAAAAGCGGAGTCTTTGCAATGGAAAGAAGGTATGGACCGCTTTTCTGCAGAGAAAGAAACTGCTTGAGCCAAGTTATCATCAGCCGAAACCCAACTTCAAAGAATGAAGGAAAAAGGCATGGTTCAAGCGAGAAGAATAGAGGAGCTCGAGGCTCAGTTGGCCTCTGTACTTGCCAAGGCCGAATCTGATGCCGAAAAGGCAAAGGCCGATGCGGATGCATTCGTGTCCGTCTATCAGGCCGATGCTGAAGTTGCCCAGGTCCAAGAAAGAGAGGTAGTCGAGACCGCCTATACTCGAGCACATTGGGTCGCTGATCTTGCTAAGTGCCGATCTCAGAGGGAAACCATCGAGGAGATCCATGCTCGTGGTTTTGACCTCGCTGAAGAGATAAAAAGGGCTAAAGAACTCGAAGACAATGCTGAAGCCTTAGTTTCCGATGACGATGATGATGACAATGATGATGACGATGGGAGTAAGAGCGGATCCGAGAATGGGGGGAGCCCGATAGAGAAGAGACCGCTCATGGGGATGACCA